GAGCTACGGGATTGAGATGTGAAAAAAAGAAGCAGATCTATACACGGACAGTTTCTCCCTTGGGAATCGGGCTCTGCGAGGAATTCCTTTGCACACCAGTCACTCGCAGATTATGAAAATTCTTTAAACTTACAGCAATATACTTTGATTCAAAGAAAGGGAACAAAAATCCCAAAACACAAAAATTCTTAACACACTAATACGTTTCTATGGTAATCAATGTTCAAACATAGCTTTGCCGAGACATTCCGACCTTTAGCAAGGTATGTAAACATCACTTTAGGTACTTGTCCCCACCCCAAGAAAAGGCCTGGGAAAAAAATGTCTGCATGTGCAGCACATTTTAAATAAATATCAAGCCTATTGTGCTCTCCCAACAAAGAGGGTATCTTAGTAACGTTAAAATAAGGTTTACTCAGTAAGACACAGACTGCTATAAGCACACTTCCTGTCATCTCAGGAAGATCGATTGATGGAAGCATTTTAAAACAGTTTAAAACTTGTGCCCATGGACAAAGTGCAAATGCCTTCTTTTGGGTCATAGTTAAGGGGTGTCAGGTTATGACCTCTGCTGACTTTACAGGAAATTGAAATTAAAGTAAGAAGACCAGCTTTTATTCAGAGACCTGTCTATATTGCCCACATGAAACAAGGTAACCCTCAAGCTGTACTGAAGGAATAAGAGGGAGGGGTGGTCTTTCAAGAAATGTCCACACAGACAGATGCTGCAGTTTTTGTTAAAACCTTCTCCCCCCCCAATTAAAATTTCCTCACTACCTACTATTTGGAGACTCCAATGCATGTTTACCATTCCTTAGGCTGAAATTGCTGAAGCCCAATCAGGGGAAGGAAGTATCCTACAGGCAAAAGCAGAACTGGGGAAATGAAGGGATACAGGTACATTTGTGGGAACAAAACTATATATAGTTATATATAGAGGCTATATATCAATAGGTTCACTGCCCTGCTTGTACCTTGCTTTTCCTTGCTCATTGTGCCAAGGAAGAGCAAAATAAATGAACAATAAATGAATTGCCATTTAACCAACTACAGCTAACATGACTACATTTAGTGCACTACTGAGTAAGATTAAGATAGTGTTGTTATAAAAACCAGGATGCAGCAGAGTGAGCCTTATCCTAGCATGTTCTTAGCCAGTGGAGGATTTGAAAAAGTTGTTAGTGGATTCGAATGAAGAATCCCTGTTGAGATGTTCTGATGCTTGCGAGAGGTGTGCAGGAAAAATACTAACAAAGTCAACAGAGACCTCGTGTGGTAAGATGACAAACTGTGGGCATAGAAGACAGATACATCTAGAAGGGCAGGACTCTTTGGTCCAAATACAAGTAACCAAGCTTGTATTATTTAAGAGTTTGAAAGCTGCTCAGATGGCGAAACGGATTGGAAAGTGTGGCATCTCAAATAATTCACAATATATCCTAAACGTCTTTTGTTATTCAAGTAGGGAGCTGTCTCAGCATGCATAGGCTGCAACGGAACAAGTAAAGGTTCATTCCATGCTGAAAAGAGAAGAAAATAAACAACGTTTTGGCTGTGGGAGTTCATCCATCCACCATCTAACTGATCACTGTTTTGATCCGATACAGGGTTATAGGGGAGCTGAAGCTTATCCTGCCTTATGCCCATTGCTTGCCGGGATACATCCTGGATGGGACACCCAGACACAAACACACGACAGGGCCAGTCTTCCCAGAATCCAAATAACTATGTCTCTGGACTGGGGAAGGAAACTGGAGCACCCGGTGAATAAGCATGCAACCATGGGGAGAGTCTACAGATTCCACACAGATAGCACCCCAGGTCCAGAAGTCTACCCAGGGCTCCACTGCTGTGAGGTAAGCAATCCTAAACACTGCGCCATTGTGACACCTAATTTTGGTATTACCAAATCATTCCCAGGACAAATGGAAATAGACCAATTCATGTCTTTATAAATGTGTCCGATGGGTGAGAATAAGACATTGTTAAGATGTTCTGAAGCTTGCCACAGCTGTACAAAAAAACTGGGAAACGGATAAGGTTTTTTGTTTGGAAGTGAACTGTGCAATTCTGACTTTGGCACCAATAAATTCCAAAACCAAACAATGGAAGACTGAGACTTTAATTTTATACCGCAAATAATGGTTCTACAATATTCCTAAAATACATCAACTAGCTCAGACCATGAAAGACTCCAGAAAAAAAGGGTTACGCATACTACCACAAAGCTGTACAGCAGATTAGTTAATGGCCACTTTTCACTTTACACAAAACAAAATTAAACTGAGTTCTACACAACAACCAATGTGGTTATGAATAGATTACATGGGAAACGTATTCATGCTTCAAAATGTATAGAGGGTATTGCACAGATTTAGATTGTGTGAGGGAAAAAGTAATTGGTTAGCAATTTGTTTATTTAGCCAGTAAATAATTATTTCAACCCCAGAAAGTGGATTACAAAATACATTTTATACTAATATTAAAAGTCTGAAAACAATTAAGAATGCAATTTAAAAGGAAAAAAAATACAGAAATACAAGTAAATATTTACTCTAAAAGAATTTAAGGAAAGCAAAAAGTGAGGACACCAAGCAAAATAAAGAGATGGGATTTGAAATGGGACTCGTGAGAGAGAAAGAAAAAGGATAAAATATTTTAAAATGGTCCTGATTGAATCCAAATTGGTGCGATCCTAGAGATGCTTTAACTTTCCCTCTTCTTCTCTTTGTTTTCTTAAGTAACAAGACATCAAATGCAAGAGGAAAAAGTCCAGAGCTAAAGAAAAATTCTATGACAGAAGGCAGCAACTGGAAACTACAAGGTACCTTTGGACAACCATTGGTACTAGACTAATTTCATGCTATAAATACTTAAATCGACCCTTTATGTAATGTTAATATCCTTCAAAGTTTCAGCAGGGTGCTTTCCTCATCTCTGCACAGTTACACGATTTCCTCTGGACTCACAAATACCTGAACGTGCAACTAACATAAAGCAGCACTTCCTTCCAACAAATTTATGGATGATCAGTAGCAAAGAACAGTTGCAGCAAAATGAAAGAGTACAAAGATGTAAAGTGACAGAAGCCGGCTCTAACTTCCTACCGATTTCGGCCATTCCTTTATTACTCAGCCACGCCAACCCCCAGTACAAATTAGTTGCAGAAAAGGTCATCTGGTCATAAAATACAGTACAGAGTAATTTTTATGTAAGTTTGCCAACAGGGACATAAACCAGGACCATTTCAAACTGTGACTCAGGATAGAAGTGTATTTAAAAAAAGATCTTTGTTCAGTCTATTGTGCTGTCGTGTTGTTTGGCTTTATGGATCTTTTGAGCACCAGATCTGGCTAATTAATTAAATAAGGAAGTTACCTCATTTTTTCTTTTTTTTTTTGCTTTACCGCTTTATTATTAGACTCTCCTTTTGAAGTTTTTTTAGGGGATTTGGACTCCTAAATCACATGGACACTGCTCTCGTGTTGAACATTTTGTAGCGTCTGGATAATTTAAATAATAGGTCAGGATGTGGCTGCTTGGACGAGCAACTTTATGTTTCATGTTAAGTTAATAATCGCAGATTGGTGTCAGCCAAGGGGCATACGAAGACGGCACCTGTTTCACTCACTGGTTCTGTTCCTTACAGCTTTTAACTGCTTAAAAAATTTAAACATTTCTCCTTTTTCTTTTATTGCTGTTGTGATATTTCTAGTCTATGCAAATTCCATCTAATTCATCATCTAGCTCAGAAATATTAAAAAATGAAATGACTTATGAAATGCTTTTAAAAAAAATGTAAGAGTACAATTTTCAGTGATATGATTTTCTGCTGGGGCACAATTCAAACAGCCTTGTATAAAGAGCGCTTTTACAGCTAACTAGATAATGCAGACAAATGGGTCATGAAATCCATCTACTGCAGAGCTAGGAAACTCAGGACAGGCACAAATGGGACCCTGGCACCAGATGGCACCTATATTTTGTGGCCATTAGAGACATGAGCAACCCAGTATGGCAAAACTGTGACACTGAGCTGATATTGCACCCTCTGATGTTTATCAGATTTCAAATAAGTTGTAGTTTTTAAAATACAATTGTCTGAGCAGGCCAACCAATATAAGCACCCTAAACGTCCATTGCTCTATCCAATTAAAGAGGCTATATTGAGTATTAATACAAACTATGCCCACTGCTCCATTCTTGATCAGTTTCTGTTGTCTTCCTAAAACACATCGTTCAAGAACGCTCCTTTAAGCCCGACACTTGCAGCTCATCATCAGCACTGCAGATGAACCCTTAACATTATTCTCGTGAATTCTCAAGCCATGAAACTACTGCTTTTCTTTTCATATAATCAGTTGTTCTACTGTGGTATGAGTCATATGACCCACTCTGCACTTACGATGTTTTCATTAGTTTATGTTGTATCATTAGCTTTATTGTCCACTTCTGCATCATTGAAATTAGCTGCTTAGAAATGTGTGATGCATCATTGTACTTACAGTGACAATTTTACACGAGTCATATCAGATACAAATAGTTACTAGATAAAATGCCAACAGTTATAAGCAACAAAATATCTGACCTATTCCTTGAGCGGTAAAAACATGACAGGCAAAACTCTGCCAGTGCTTAACCTCCACCCACACTATGGCGAAAATAATTGTAAAATGTTTTTAGAGGCATAGAGAGAAGAGTGTGCCAACTTTGGGAACTGCATTCTTTTAGAATTTAAGATGTATATAATTGTATAGGGAAACATCCTAAGAAAGGTAAATGATACAATAAGGTAGTTATTAGGGTAGTAAAGCAAACTCTTATACATTATTAAATATACTATTTTTATTAGCAATCTTTTAAATATTGCTAAGAAACAGTTCAGATAGTGGCCCCGTTACGTCCAGACGATTCGAAATTAAGAAATTATTTTTATTAAATTAAAATTAAGAAGAACATTGCAGAAAACGGTAAGTATAAAAAATAAGGCTGTCCTGTACCTTTTTTGATCCAGCAAATCCTTCTGACTCCAGAAAGAAATAGGCAAACGGCATTAGCATGAACAGACATAAGTTGGAGAACAAAGACATCAGATTCCACAGGCCTGCAACAAAACAAAAAATAAAAGAATGAGAACAGAGAAAGCAACAACAGTGGTAAAGAAGATTACTAAAACTGCAATGCACTCAACTTCCTAAACAATATTTGACAGATTCATAAAGATAACTCTATGGTAAACCAAAGAAATTAAACAAATCCATAGATTTTAATTGTCACAAACTTAATGACCAAGTACATCAAAATATTCATAAATATAAATAGATATCGAAGCTGTACATTACATCGAAATAAATGTGCTGGTTTATGCATCACATACATTTTTGGATGTTCACGTTCAACTATCATATGAGAGAATGAGTCACACTACGAGAATATTTTGATATTTTAATCAGCTAATGCTGAATTTGTTCTATGGTCATGTTCGGAACAGAACTGGATTCACAAAAATTCTTAAAGGGTTGTACATTGATGCCATCTAGTGGTAAACTAAACCGATTCCCTGAATGTTCAGAAATAAAAACCTAATACATCCTTCATTTTATTATCAATCTGTGGAAACAGATTATACACCTAGAAGCTATCCTGGGGTCAAAATTCTTAAGAATGGAAAGGAAACAGATGAGAGAAGGCAAGCCAACGTCTCCTTGGCCGTTTAGTTTCTAGAAGCTAATCGATTCAAAGATCTAATTTTTCAGTCCCAGTTTTGATGGAATAACTTGGTAGTTTGGTCCAGATTCTGAGAACTTTTCTCAGTTTTAAGCGCACTTCTCTAATTTTTCACTGTATAAAACCTAAGTCAACTGCATTCATCCGTTCAGGACTGGAGCACACTGCACAACAAAGCTCATTCCAAGATGTTTCTAGTAGTTCACATTGGTGTTTCTCCATGTGCCTGGGTTCATGAAGAACTCATAATGGCATCCCTAAATGCTTTCCTTCTTGCCCATCTACTCCATTTGGGGGAGCATCCTCCCATATCTGGGTGTTTTCCACTTTTTAAATGATCGACTTCGTCTCATTACATTTAGCTTTTTTGAAACATTTTTAAACCCTTCTCCCGATCACTACCTACCAGACTGAGGGTCCTTACAGTGACAGTGGCTGTTATTCTGAAATCACGTGAACCACTATTATTGCCTTATCAAGCCACACAAGCCACACTCAACTACTTTTGTGGCTTAAGGCAATATTTGTACCTAAATAAATTTAGGTTTCTCGTAGAAACGTGTTTGAATATGTACACGTATGAAATATGAAAGAAGTTTCCATTTTTCTTTCATAATTATCTTTTTTGTTTTTTATTTGAATGCATGGAATAGGTTGTAGGTGAAAAATGTGGAAAGATATGAATATTTGAATAGGGGCACTGCATATACAAATACATGTCATGTGCTATTTTTTCTTTTTATCAGAAGGAATTTTCTTAATGATCAAAATTCTTCCAGTCCTTGAAATAAAAGCGCACTCTCTATACATCTGCCACTTTCATTGATGATACCGTTTTTAAGACGTACTGTAAGAATTGTTTATTACAGTTACATTATACAACTCAGAACCTAATATTTAAGTCCTGCACATGAACTGACCACTACAAAGAAACATGTCCCAACAATCTGATGGCAATTATTAACAGAAAAAATAACTAATAAATCAATAACTTAACTAATTGTTGCATACAGGAAAACATCTAGAATTTCTCTTCATTAGCTGCTTTTTGAAAAGGCATACCCTAATCAGGGAATCTCAAAATTAAAACAGAACTTCAAAAACAGATGGTCATTCTGGTTATTAACGCATTCATGGTTATTGCATCGGTCACCGTTCTTTACCAAGTATTCAAATAAACGGGACAGAGCTTATTCTGTACATGAGGAGACGCAATCATTTTGTCTGTAACCTTTGTTGTGAAAGTTTCTGGCTGTTAACAGTGAAGCACCAAGAAACAAAAAATATACATTACAGAACTGAAGGGGGGGAAGGGAAAAGAAAAAAAATACTGACCATGGATTAGTGAGCCGTTAAGCCACTGGATATAGTAGTTTTTGGGGAAGGAAAGCAGGATCTCATTACTGATTATAGAAAACGGCAGAAGCAGCACTGCCCCTGCTGACACTGCCAGCGTGAAGGTGCACAAGTAAAGTCTGTGGAATCAAACAAAGGGGCATTAGTCAGGGACGTTAAATGCATGGAAGAAACATTAAGAGGTTGGTTAATTTGTTAATACCATTCATGAACAGGAATCAAAACCGAGGCTAACGTCATAAACCAAAAACAAAGAGCTGTGACTCAGAGAAGACGAGGACAGCACACTCAACTCA